CCCCCTCCAGGGCAGGTGGTATCTCCCAGAATATTGGGGCATCCCTGGGAGCGCAGGTGGGATCACCCAAAAAAGGGGGGGGGAACTCCCAAAATACGGGACCCTCCCAGGACTCCTGGGAACCCCCAAAATTTGGGGTCTCTGCCCTGGAATGTCCGGGGGGGGAGGATCCCAAAATCCAGGTTGACCCCTGACCCCCCCCAATTTTGGGGTCAGTTTCCAGAATTTGGGGATTCAGTGCGTGAAGAAGCGCGAGCTGGAGGCGGCCGTGGCCGAGCGGATCCGCACCAACAACAACCCCTTCAACGGTACTGGGAGCACTGGGAGGGACTGGGAGTGACTGGGAGCGACTGGGAGGGACTGGGAGTGACTGGGAGGGACTGGGAGGGACTGGGAGGGACTGGGAGGGGACAGGGAGGGACTGGGAGGGACTGGGAGTGACTGGGAGTTACTGGGAGGGACTGGGAGGGGACTGGGAGGGAATGAAGAGGACCAGAAGCCACTGGGAGGGAGCTTGGAGTTACTGGGAGTTACTGGGAGGGACTGGGAGGGACTGGGAGGGGACCAGGAAGAGTCTGGAGGCACTGGGAGGGACTGGTTTTACTGGGAGGAGGTCTGGTGGGCACTGGGTGTTACTGGGAGGGCACTGGGAGGGGTCCTGGTGCTGCTGGGGGCGTCACTGGTGTGTACTGGTTTATACTGGTCCATACTGGGCAGTGCCAGGGGAGCAGCGCGGGGGTGGGTACGACCTGGGGGTGTCACTGGGGGGTGCCTGGGGGTGTCACTGGTTCATACTGGTTTATACTGGTTCATACTGGTTCATACTGGGCAGTGCCGGCGGAGCAGCGCGGCGGCGAGTACGACCTGGCCGCGGTCAGGCTCTGCTTCCAGGTGTGGGTGAGGGGCCCGGGGGGGCTGCGGCCCCTCCCCCCCGTCCTGTCCCAGCCCATCTACGACAACCGTGAGTGGGGACACCTGGGGACACCTGGGGACACCTGGGGACATCCCTGGGACACCTGGGGGACATCCCTGGGACATCCCTGGGACACCTGGGGGACATCCCTGGGGACAGCTGGGAACATCCCTGGGAACACCTGGGAACACCTGGGGGACATCCCTGGGACATCCCTGGGACACCTGGGGGACAGCTGGGGACACGTGGGGACAGCTGGGGGACATCCCTGGGGACAGCTGGGGACATCCCTGGGACATCCCAAGGACACCTGGGACACCTGTAGGACACCTGGGGACACTTGGGGCACCTGTGGGACAGCTGTGGGACATCCCTGGGACACCTGGGGACATCTGGGGGACACCTGTGGGACACTTGTGGGACACCTGGGGCACCTGTGGGACCTCCACCCTGTGTCCCCAGTGACCCTGCTGTGACCCCGCGGTGTCCCCTGTCCCCTGGTGACTCTGATGTCCCCAATGACCCCGGTGACCCCGCGGTGACCCCGGTGACCCCACGGCGTCCCCTGTCCCCAGGTGCCCCCAGCACGGCCGAGCTGCGCATCTGCCGCGTCAACCGCAACTCCGGGAGCTGCCGCGGCGGGGACGAGATCTTCCTGCTGTGTGACAAGGTCCAGAAAGGTGCGGGACACCCCGGGACTGGGACACCCCAAAACCCAGGACACCACGGGACCGGGACACCCCGAAACTGGGACACCCCGGGACTGGGACACCCCGGGACTGGGACACCCCAAAACCCGGGACACCACAGGACCGGGACACCCCGAAACTGGGACACCCTGAGACAGGGACACCCCGGGACTGGGACACCCCGAAACCTGGACACCCCGAAACCTCTGATACCCTGAGACCGGGACACCCCGAAACCTGGACACCCCGGGACCGGGACACCCTAAAACCTGGGACACCCCGGGACCGGGACACCCCGAAACTGGGACACCCTGAGACAGGGACACCCCGGGACTGGGACACCCCGAAACCTGGACACCCCGGGACCGGGACACCCCGAGACCAGGAACATCCTGAACTTGGGACACCCTGAAACCTGGGACACCCCGAAACCAGGACACCCCAAAACCAGGATACCCTGAGACCAGGACATCCTGAACTTGGGACACCCCAAAACCTGGGACACCCCAAAACTAGAACACCCTGAAACCAGGACACCCCGAAACCTGGGACACCCCGAAACCCGGGACACCCCAAGACAGGGACACCCTAAAACCCGGGACACCCCAAACCAGGGGATATCTGTGTCTGTGTTCCTATGGCCTGTTCATGTCCCCAATGTGTCCCTGTTCCCATGCCCTGTCCCTGTCCCCCTGCCCTGTCGCTGTCCCCAACGTGTCCCTACCCTGGTGGCCTGTCCCTGTCCCCAGCGTGTTGCTGTCCTGGTCCCTGTCACTGTCCCCAATGTGTCCCTGTCCCCATGCCCTGTCCCTGTTCCCGTGCCCTGTCTCTGTCCCCATGTCCTGGCCCTGTCCCCAACATGTACCCTGTCCCCATGCCCTGTCCCTCTCCTCGCAGTGTCCCCATGGCCTGTCCCTGCTCCCCTGGCCTGTCCCTGTCCCCAGTGTGTCCCTGTCCCCGTGGCCTGTCCCTGTCCCTATACCCGTGCCCTGTCCCTGTACCCAGCCTGTCCCTGTCCCCGTGTCCCCGCGGTGTCCCCAGCGTGTCGCTGTCCCCATGCCCTGTCCCTGTCCCCATCGTGTCCCTGTCCCCAGCGTGTTGCTGTCCTGGTCCCTGTCACTGTCCCCAGCGTGTCTCTGTCCCTATGCCCTCTCCCTGTCCCCGCAGTGTCCCCATGCCCTGTCCCTGTCCCCATGCCCTGTCCCTGTCCCCATCGTGTCCCTGTCCCCAGCGTGTTGCTGTCCTGGTCCCTGTCACTGTCCCCAGCGTGTCTCTGTCCCAGAGGACATCGAGGTGCGTTTCTCGGCCGAGGGCTGGGAGGCCAAGGGCTCGTTCGCGCAGGCCGACGTTCACCGCCAGGTCGCCATCGTGTTCCGCACGCCGCCCTTCCGGGACCCCGCGCTGCGCGCGCCGGTCACCGTGCGCATGGAGCTGCAGCGGCCCTCGGACCGCCAGCGCAGCGCCCCCGTGGACTTCAGATACCTGCCCCACCAGGGTGGGCTTGGGGAGGGGTCTGCAGGGGGCTACGGGGGGCTAGGGGCAGTTATGGCGTCTGTATTGTGGGCTGGGGGTGATGCAGGGTCCAGGTCCCCGGAGCTGCAGTGCCCCCATGGACTTCAGATACCTGCCCCACCAGGGTGGGCTTGGGGAGGGGTCTGCAGGGGGCTACGGGGGGCTGCGGGCAGTTATGGGGTCTGTATTGTGGGCTGGGGGTGATGCAGGGTCCCTCTGGGACATTCCCGGGTCCCTGGATCCTGTTGATTCCTATTCCCATTCCAGTTCTCATTGAGTTCCTGTACCTGCTCCACCAGGGTGGGCCTGGGCGGGGGGCTACGGGGGGCTAGGGGCACTTATGGGGTCTGTATTGTGGGCTGGGGGTGATGCAGGGTCCCTCTGGGACATTCCCGGGTGACTTTGGGGCATTCCCGGGTCCCTGGATCCTGTTGATTCCTATTCCCATTGCAGTTCTCATTGAGTTCCTGTTCCTGCCCCACCAGGGTGGGCTTGGGGAGGGGTCTGCAGGGGGCTAGGGGCACTTACGGGGTCTTTTTGTGGGGCTGGGGGTGATCTGGGGTCCCTTTTGGGGCTCTCCCAGGTCCTGCTGTGGTTATTTTTGGGTCCTTCTTGTCACCCTGGGACCCTGCTGGGGTCACTGGTGGGACTGGGAGGTCACTGGGGGGTCACTGGGGGGTCACTGGTGTGACTGGGGGGTCACTGGGGAGTCACTGGTGTGACTGGGGGGTCACTGGGGGGATCCCTGGGGGTCTCGGGGAGGTGACAGCCCTGACTGGGAGCTGACTGGTGTTACTGGTGCAGGGGACCTGCAGTGCATCGAGGAGAAGCGCAAGCGGACGCGGGAAACCTTCCGCTCCTTCATCCAGCGCAGCCCCCTGCCCGGTGGGGGCCTGGGGGGGCTTCGGGGGGGGTTACTGGGACGGACTGGGAGGGGGCTTAGGGGTTACTGGGAGTCACTGGGAGGCCTTTAGGGGTCACTGGGGGGCACTGAGGGCTACTGGGAGTCACTGGGAGCTCTCTGCGGTTACTGGGACACAACTGGGAGTCACTGGGAATCCCGTGCGGTTACTGGGAGCTACTGGGAAACTCCTGGGGGGGTCACTGGGTGCCTTTTGTGGGGGGGGGGGCGGGGCCCCGCTTCGCCCCGCCCCCCGGAGCACAGCAGCCAATGGGAGCGTGGCCGCCCCTCCCCCCGGCGTTAACCCCGCCCCCATGGAAGTGCCTTTGGGGGGAGGGGAAGCCCCGCCCCTTCTCCCCCGCTGGAGTGACCTCAATAAACGGTCCAGCGTTTGATTGATGGCTGAGGGGCGTGGCTTGTACGCACAGAGGCGTGGTTGCCGCGGAGGGGGGCGTGGTTGACTACCGGGGGCGTGTCCAAATTGGCCCTGCCTCCGCCGGGGCGGCGCTTTAGCGGGAAGGGGCGTGGCCTCGTCCCGGAAGGGGCGGGGCGGGGCGCGCCGGGGAGGCCGCGGCGGAGCCGAGCGGGGCCGGGGCCGGGCCGGGAGCGGCCGGAGCGGGGCCGGG